TGCAAGTGCTATGATTGACCAAAGCTTATCACGATTCAAAAAGACACAAAATCTTAAGCCATCGTAAACACGGAACTGCAGACAGCGAGCAAGGATATATCGCTACCCTACCAGAACCAGATCCCAGAGTAGGGGGCCTAGAAGCTATCAGACCACCACAGGGTGCTATGATTGACCTCGGCCCGGTTTCGAGCAGAAGAAATAAAATGGTGTTTACTCAATAAGATACTCTTTTTTAAGAGAAAATCGTGAAATGACTTCTCCCGTCCAGGACTCTAACTGACTAAAAACACCCCCGTTCCTTCTCCTGCTCTGGGCCGAGGCCGGTCAGTAAGATATCTGGATTTACAAATCAATTGATAACTTTCCATCTCATAAAAGGTTTATTCTTTATTCTATACCTCTATCAAAATTGAACAAGAAAACATAACAATTGCAACACATGTAACCCTATGTCTGTAAAAAGGTAACAAGTCCACATAACTATACTGTACAACAATTATCCGTACAATCATTTAAATAAGGTTTATTTTAAGTTTTTGTAACATAGGTAAGTGCCAGTAAGTCTGTTGTTAACACAATGGTTCATGTGAACACGTCACATTCTGCTCCTTTGTTTCTTATTGAGCTGGCGCCGTATGCGTGCACAAATTTTATAATATGCTATTGTGTTGCCCATTGCCAGTATCGTAAAGGTCTTGTAAACGTCAACCCGCCATTTTATGCTTTAGAACGAAAATTGTAACAAGGTAGATTGTACAGGATCTTGAATACATCTTTTTTTGTGAGGGGAAAATCATCAAGCGAGTTCTCCTGTCCAGGATGAGGCTAAAGGGGGTGTCAGACTCCTACTGACTAAAAACCCCCCCATTCCTTCTCCAGCTCTAGGCCGAGTCCGAAGTGCCTTATAACGCTTGCCCCACCACCCTAGCTGAACATCAGCCCTATAGTGGATTATACATATATTCTTCATCTTTTGGAATCGTTATTTTGACTTGAAAAGACTTGTGCTTTTCCTATTCCTTTTAACACCTAACTTTTTTAACATACGAGTACGTAGGTTCGTTAATAATTAACATAACTTGTTTTTTATAACACGTATATGTGCAAATATTTTGATAATTCTTCTATTTATAAACGAGTCAGTTAGACATTTTTGTCAACATTCCTCTAGTTCATTTTGGTAATCACGATAAATAATAAATGTGAAGCCAAGTGTCTTTAGACCACCACAGACGGGGCCCTATAGGGCTAAAGTTCAGCCGGGGTTGCGGGGTAAATGCAATGAGGCACCGCGACCTCGGCCCAGAGCAGAAGAAGGAACAGAGGGCTTTTTAGTCAGTAAGAGTCTGACACTCCCTGCCGCCCTACCCTGGGCGGGAGAAGTCATTTGACTATTTTCCCCTCACAAAAAAAGCACACGCTAGCTGTTGAACACAGGATACCGGAGTACTATTCTGTTAGCTTCTTATTTTAAGTAGGTAAGTTGTAACTGCAATTCGATTTCTTTGCTTTTCACAGTTTTAACCTAACTGAAGACATGATTTTATGGAGAATCTCTTCACTTTTCAACTTACGACCTGAATGAGAAATTCAGCCATTCAAAAAATCAATCATAAGCAAATCATCAAATGACTTCTCCCACTCAGATTGAGGCGAGAAGGGGTTCAGACACTGACTAAGAACCTCACTGTTCCGTCTCCTGCTCTAGGCAGAGGTCACGGTGCCTTATTGCTCTTGCCCCGCAAACCCGCCATCATTCATTTTATTTTATTAGAGGAGCTAATTTAAATAAGTGGCTACATACACATCGAATGTGCATTAACAATGTGAAGCAGTCTAAGGAAAATAACAGCAAAAACAGATGACACAAATATCTAATGTGCAAATAAATATGACACAAGCCCTGTGTCATGGCGACTATTTTACAATGTTGGCGAAACAGATCAAATGTGAATTTTTTTTTTGCTTAATAGAAGTCGACGAATTGAGGACTAAAAACTGTATATGTGACATTTTCGATGCCTTTAATTTGGGTATCGTAATACACGTCAAGTGGTAAATTTTGGAGAGCTAAGCTTCGACATGAATGGGTCAGCTCGACCAGGGTAATACCACGGCTTCAAAAACAACCACTGCATTCGCGCGAGGTTCTCCAATCGCTAAATCTTCGAGACCCATTCGAGTTCTTCGAGTGCATTTTCGACCTTTTGGGGTTACCCTTACCCCCAAAAGGTAACTTCTCTGGTGGTGTGAGTATCCAAGGACGGCGCCAATTGGTTACCATCAGGTAATCTGTCTATTCGTTTGCTAAATGATCACTTAAAAAAACAACTTCATTAGTTTAGTCATTTACTTGAAGCCGATATTTTCAAGTCTGATGACGAATTTGTGTTCGAATTGAAGTAATTATCATGACTAATGTCTCATTTGAATTGTTTCGTAATTTGCCCCTTGGTAACGCTTGGAATCTCCATAATTTGATAAGAACTCTAGTACCAAAGACTTGTTAAGTTGCTATTGACTACGTAGCGTGTTCGTCACATTACAAATTATGGATTCTGATTGTAAGTCTTCTTTACGTGTTTAGAGCTAATCAAAATCTATTGTTTTTAGTTCGAACAATACAACACTGTTGTTTCAATTGTGTCATTTATCCGTGTCGTCTTTAATCTATTTTCGCCTACTGCAACCGGACTTTAACTTAGCCCTAAAAACGGAAGGAATTCGGGTTTGGTTGTCGTTTATATGTGAAATTGTATGTTTGTAAACGTAACCACGAAAGAAAATACAAAGGGGCAACGTACTTTCTTTAAAAAATTGAAACAGACGCTTAGTATGATGCCGATGCAGTAAAATTAGCATAACTAGGTAAATAGTAAAGTTTCCGTCTTCCATTTATAGTCGCCATGTTGTGTCCATTTATTTCCTTTACCATGTTTAAATTATTGTTCGTGCATCTATTGATTGTTTAATGAAGAATATCTTCCATGGACAAGTAAGGGAAACAAAATAAAAGCTTTTTAACTGAATTATCTTATTCTCTATATTGAAAGTAGAGTCGAGAGAGCAGTATACATAAATTTCCTTTAGATTTGGAAAGACTTCGAAGTGACGTTATATCGTCTGTCTTACAGTCTTACCTCATATTTTCTACAACGAGGAATAGGTATTGTCATGAATGAAAAGGAGGAAGAAAGAAATTATTTCCTTCAAAAATTCTTTAAAATAGAAAATTCTTAAGGAGAGCAGAAGATAAAAGTTAAGTTGCAGAAGAAGAAGGGTTGTGACTAAAACATACCAAAGATTATAGACTGTGCTGTGTATTTTTCGTTCCCGGATACGAAAATATGGGGAGATTGCGCAATTCAGTCATTCAAAAATAGGTAGACACCATTAATTCGGTATGTGGGACAGCGAGTCAATGGGTTTGTACTGGAACGTTACTAAAAACATTGTTTTAATTATGTGTAAGTTTAAAATAGGGCATTTACGACACCCTTTCTTGTTTAGTTAGTAACAAATTATTTTGTTGGTGAAATGGAAGCAAAGTTGCAAGTGCCACTAAGATTGAGCAGGCGATTCTTCGGAATATCGTCACGCCAAGAAACACGCTTGAAATTTTACCATTTGATTGGTTTGATACGGTAGCCAATGCAATGAATGGTCCCGAAAACAATCGGGCAAAAATTTTGCATATACGATTGCTGCTACAACTGCTTTGTAGCATTAAGTCTGGATTTAAGTGTAAACAGTATTGGACTTGTTTTTTATAACAATTAGGTATCATCACATCTTTTAATAATAAAAACAGGAGACCATAACGAACGTCTGTTTCGCCCAGAATATTAGGGTTTCTACTAAACCAATGCAACAAAAGTCTTTAAAACTTCATATCGAGGACATTTTAAGCAAACAAGTTCCGTAATTGATATTACTCTATAGCCTGGTTATTAGTAAGGAGACCACAGCGACCGCAAGTTAGTCACAGCCTCACCAATGATCTACATAGTGTCAACACTACGGCCATTAATCACGTCATTATTGGACATAAAACAAATGCTAAACAAGTATTTCTTGTACCACATTCGAATCGTTATCCTAAAATAACAAGGGTTTTCAATGATTTGAATTGTAAGTAAGACGTTGAGGCTAGCTTTGTTCCTGATATTTACAGTATGCGTATGGAAATGGATGCAGATAGCCCTTGGATTAGTGTTGAGTAGATACTGCCTGTCTGTTTACCAAGAAATATTCTTTTGACTAAAAGTTACTACAGAGCATTTTATGGGTTTAGCTGAATTTTATCAACAAAACATTACACATTCAGTCCAATAAGACCTTCCTGGAGGTGTGTAGCATCCGTTACACAAACAAATAACTTTACTACGGTGGAAGCAATCGAGAATTCGTTTACTAACTATGTACTAATTTGATCAAGATTAGCATAGGACCAATTAGTGAACCTTGTGGAAGACCACCACGGATAATTGCCCATCCACGCATATAGTTATTGATATAGACAGTGTGAGATCTCATTCTTTCCTACGAAGAAAATAACCTAAATAAATCATAACTTATACCGATAATTAGTTACGCAGCTTACAAAGAAGTATATAATGTGGTACATACTATTAAAATATGTATTTACTGTAGTCTACGTCGAATTGAAAGTATAGATCCATAGACGTCAAATAAGTATTTTAAATCGAAATTATTCATATTAGTAATCATACGTTTGATAGCACAGTTAAAGAACGGCTGAATGACTATCCTATAAGCAGTTCGACAAGTTCAAAAGAACACAGAAGTAACGGAATCACCGACAACGTTCTTGGCAAACTGAACGTAAAAACGTAATTTTTACTTTTACTACAAAACTTTTACAAGCCTTATATGAACTCCACAGGGGTGAAATTAATGTATTATAAATAGCAACGGAATAAATATCCTGTCACGTACCACAAGAAAAATCAATATATATCTAACTGTGTACTTACGTATAAATAAAATCCTCGTGTTAAAATAAACACACACTGTCTATCAAATAACACGGTTTATTACACAAATTGTATATTTAACACCGTTGTCCAATTGATAATGGATTAAGTTATTAATGTTTATAATTCTGATTAAATATAATGGGTGCGCGGGAAAAAAGCGTGCACCCTCTACGCGGATCAGTGAGCGACTGATGACGTTAACGCGGTGCGCCGGTTCCCTCGCACTAAGCGACGGAAGGACGTAACTTTGTATGTTACCATTAAGTTAATTTTATCTCTATAATTTGAAAGGTAAAGTTTATAACAGCGTGTGAAAAAATTAAGTTCTACTTCTTTCGTTTCGTTTCACATGCACATTGTGTATGCCACGGTCGTACACACATTTCTTTGACTCAAGAGAAAAGGCGAAAGGACATCGGAGCGGTTTGTATGTTTGACTTGTTCCATATCGCCACGTTATTTAATAAACCAGATTTGTTAAGTTTCGAATTTATTAACGCTGTTAAAATTTTTTTGTTTTTTTTTTATGGCAGAGGTTAGCAAACGAGCAGACGGATAACCTGATGGTAAGCAATGCGCTGCCCATGGACACCCGCAATACCAAAGGAGTTACGAGTGCGTTGCCGGCCTTTTAGGAAGGGATGGGGAAAGAGTGAGGGAACTCCGGTAACCTCACTCACACGGCGAAACACAAAGCTGTGGTTGTTTCACGCCGGGTTTCTGTGAGGCCGTGGTATCTCTCCGGTCGAGCCAACCCATTCGTGCCGAAGGTTGGCTCTCCCACACTTAGTTTTGGCTTTTTTGATTAGCTTTTGACAACTTTATCTGTTTAGGTTGCAAGTTGTAACGGTGTTAGAATATTTGGCGCCATCATTGTCACCTATTATAATCTCAGAATGACTGCTGACTTCATAACCTAAAAATCTTGTCAGTAAAGGAGGAAACGGAACGAAAGAAGAAGAAAGAAATACCATTTATTTTTGCGAAGAACATACTTGAACTTAAGAACTACAACAAAACATCAATATAGTCATATTAGAACAAGTACTTATTACCTAATCATTTTGTTTTAATACGAGTTAAATTCTAATGAGAGATCTGTGTATCGCCTGGGAAAGCATAGGTAAATCTTATTAACAACTTCGCCAAAAGCTTTCCGATACCAATATTTTTTTTGCTTTAAAGAACATTTGCAAGGTCTACTTAATTTGTTCATCAATTAATTCTTAAGAAAATAACTAAACCATATTTTTACATGCTTTAGAGAGACAGATGAGAGCTAATAAGCTTTGAGACTTAGTAGCCTGGCTATCTTTATCTGTGTTATTAATATATCTACTAAGAAATCGCTCATCATACGACTCAAGTATTAGGTATTTGTCAATTATTATCATTTCCGCAGCAAGCAGGGAATCAGTAATAGAATTTGCATAGTAGAAAATTGTACATATTTTTAGGTATAAAAGCGGACCCTAACTTTGTCTCCTACCAAGAGTCTAACTGATTTCCTACCAGTTAGACGACTTACATCTTGTCAAGGGTGAGGCAGCACTTTACGCCGGAACAACTGCTTAACCTTAACCAAGCGCAAGTTCAGTCCTGTGTGGATTACTGCTAACATCAGTAGCATCTATGACGGACGGCTCAGCTAAACTCCAGCTAGACTCATTAAAACACATTAAGAGGCTCATCAACGACGATGCACTAGTGGAGGTTAGACTTCAAAGCCTAGAACACACGCTCAAAGTTTCAAGTTGAGGAGCTGCACGATTTGATTTCCCCTTTGGTCTTTTCCACCATCATACCACCAGTGTGGGAGAGCCAAGCTTCGGCACGAATGGGTCGGCTTGACCGGAGTGATACCACGGCCTCACAGAAAACCGTCGTGAAACAACCACAGCGTTGTGTTTCGCCGTGTGAATGAGGTTACCGGAGGCCCAATCCTTTCCCTCCCCCTATCCCTCCCAATCCCAAAATCCCAAAAACCCTAATCCCTAAAAGGTCGGCAACGCACTCGTAACTCCCCCGTTGCGGGTGTCCATGGTCGGCGCTGATTGCTTACCATCAGGTAATCCGTCTGCTCGTTTGCCGACCTATAACATAAAAAAACCAGAGACGACACACACGAAGTGGTATACTTCCAAATTCGTTATCCGAACCACGAAAAAAGAATTCAGTGTTGTAGTTTGTTTTCCCCGATTGGTATATACATATAATCTGAGTGTCTTCAAGGATCGAGTGAATAGGTTGCTGTGTTGGTGCTCCACCGTAGGGCGCATCATCGCTTAGTACGACGGTTGATACTGTGATAGTGACCAAATCCAAGCCTGCCCATTAGTAAATTAAAAGAAAATGTGCTATTCTACATTAAACAATAAATTAAAATAAGTATAAGAAAATACGTATTTTTTTTAAATTCAAACTCGTATGTTCCATTGACAATATAGACACGCATGCTTATAGCAATTTCCCGCGTTCTGGCGATTACACAGCAACCAACCCGCAGGCGTTGATTTTGTAAACTACCTTTATAGAGATAAATGCGTTGATTTGCAAAACAATTTCTATTTTATAACGCCACGTTGCTGACGCTCAATTTTTTTACTTTGAGTTTAAAAACTCAAATTTATTTTTACCCGAGTACCAAAGCAAAAGGGGGACGCGCGCGAAAAAAATATAAAACAAGATTTTCAGAATACTGAAGGGCGTAGTCACACGTTATCATAGTGCAGGTATGGAAAGTAAATGTAACGTGTGACTACGCCTTTCAGTATTCTGAAACTCTTGTTTTATATTTTTTTCAGCGTCGGTTTTTGTCGTAGTTGGGTTTCAGTTTTATACTTTTTTAAACCTATACAAATCGCACCCACACCTAGGCAACATTTTTTATTCCCTGCTCCCATCCCTCTTTAATACCTCAATCTCCGAAACCTTAATCCCCAAAGGGCCGGCAACGCACTTGTACTTCGGGTGTCGTCGGCAACGCCCCTTGCTTACTATCCAGGACCACCGACTTGCTCGTTTACCAACCTATTACAGGCTAAATAAAAAAGAAATAAAAAAAACATAAACGTACATAACACAGGTCTGTGTTATGTACTTACATAAGTTACATAATTATCTTAATGTACTACCCATAAGGATCAAAGTTATTTCTGATCAGATTTTGCTGTTTACTATAAGTACTAATATCATAAAGAGGTAAATGTCGGATTGTCAAAATTCCTTCACTGATAGATAGCTACAAGGTTCCTAAGTGCTAGGCTATAAAACATCACGCTACGATCAAATGGAGCAGAGCAGCGGGTGAAACCGCGCGAGAGTAGCTAGTGCTTTATATTATAAAAGATACAGTGCTTTATATTATACAAGATATTCCTACTGGGGGTAAGTAGATGGCACACATGTTCACACATATGGACCGGTGCGCTGAATACTTTCTACATGAACGGAGATGCGCACACGCAGACTCGATGCTCGCTCGCGTGGAAGGAAGGGTGACCACACTTTTTAAGTTGACGAGGTTCTGTCACCAGCTTATAAATATTTTACGTACCGATAAAGTTAGATAGTACAACTATAACAAAAAAAAAGCTTCCTATATTTTTAGTTAATATTATAAAACCAAAGTTTATTTGGTTAAACGCGTCTCGTCTCGTTTAAATCTCTTGAGATGCTGGTTCATATATTTTTTATGTGATAGGTCGGCAAACGAGCAAACGGATTATCTGATGGTAAGCAATCAGCGTCGCCCATGGACACCCGCAACGACGGAGGAGTTACGAGTGCGTTGTCGACCTTTTGGGGATTAGGTATTTGGGAAAGGGAACGGATTGGGGTAGGGGAAGGATTGGGGAAATATTTGTGTGTTGGATAGTCGATTTATTGAAGAAGGCTACGATTTATAGAAGCTAATTTATGAGGATAAACCGTGCCGGAATAGATAATCCCTCCATGCGAAGACCGATACTTAAAATGGTCCAACTCCAATTGTACAATACAATGCAATACTAGCTTCGCTCGTATGTGTTGATAAAAAGATGCCTATATGTTTCAGGGTACCTATATACTTACAAAATATCAACCAAATCGGTCCAGCCGTTTTTGCGTAAAAGAATAATTAACCTACATCAGTGCGTTGCCGACCTTTAAGGGATTAGGGATTCGTGAGGAAGGATTGGGGGAGGGAGAGGATTGGGCCTCCGGTAACCTCACTTACACGGCGAAACACAACGCTGTGGTTGTTTCACGCCGATTTTCTGTGGGCCGTGGTATCACGCCGGGCGAGCCAATCATTCGTGCCGAAGCATGACTCTCCCATACTTAAAATTATATATAATATCAAATATTAGTACTATTATCATAATGCGCAGGTTTATATATAGACATTGATTATAAATCTTAATTTAATGTAGGTACTTTATACGCCTGGTTGAAAAAATAAATAAATAGTCTAATTTGACGAACTTGTGTACCGTAGTTACCAGATAACTTAAGTCGTCTACTGGACACCATTAAGATAAGATAAATGTACATATCATTTGTAATGTTTATAGTAGATTAGATAAATCACCTCGGAAACAATGGTAGATATCTATCTAACATTTTTCATACGCAATAATGAGTAAGATTACCTATGAGTATAGAGCCCGCTCAATGGAATACGCCAACGGGCTTCTGCGCAACTCGATAAGCCACGGCACAGTACTTAAAATGCTAAAGACTGCACGGTTGGTTGCCGTGCAACATGTCGCGGGTTCGATTCCCGCATGGAAAAACTCTTTGTGTGATCCACGAATTGTTGTTCCGTGTCTGGGTGCCATGTGTATGTGAAATTGTATGTTTGTGACCGCACCCACGACACAGGAGAAAATACTAGCATGGAGCAACGTTTTAAAAAAAATATTTGGATAGTTCGCATCAATTTAATATAAATTAACGATACATTTCCGTCAACACAAAATTAACAAATGTGCCGAATGAAACACAAATAATTATTTAATTTAATTAAGGGCTGATTTTTCAATAGTCATTTAATGTTATCTGAGGAATAAAATTGTTGCTGTCACTGTCTTATACAAACATTCTGACGCGACAGCGTCATAAGTATTCCCTAGATAACTTTTATCTCACCATTGAAAAATCAGTCCTAATTCTGTTTACAAGCAATCCATT